CGCCCCCAGACTACTGTCCCCGCCCACCTCTCCTTTCGCCCCGCCCTACCAAAGCCCCGCCCGCCCTAGGCCCTCGCCCCGCCCTGTCCAGCCCCGCCCCCGCGCGTGGTTCTGCTTCGTCGCTCTGCTCACCCTCTGGCGGCCCCAGGACCACCCCGTCCTCCTGCCTCCTCTCCACCCTGTGGCTTTCCTTGGCATCTGTGTCGCAGACAGGGGAAGCCCGCTTTCGTCGCTGGACCCTGGTATCATCCCTCTGGATCGTGAGCCCGTCTGCGGGTAGGTGCTGTCCTCCTCCAGCCTGGGGTCCCGGGAGTCTAGTGACTCCCGCGGGACGGTGGCCACACACAGGCTCCCCGGGGCACCAGGCTCTGCGGCGGGTTGGGTCTGCTCGGCCCGTGTCTGCAGCACACGCTGTTCTTGCGGGGTGCTCTGCCGTGGGCAGTCCCCCGGGGGCGCCGTCAGCCGCACCTAGGCCTGGCGGGAGCCACCCAGTGTGCCCTTTAAGCAGAACTGTCCTCACCTGCTGCCCTCACATTGCCCAGGGGCAGCGAAGAGACAGGATCTGGATGGGCCTCCTGGCCGGCTAGACGGGGACAGGGCAAACTTTTTCTCTTCTTGGTGGGGACTTTGTGTGACTTTTTCAAGATGATCCATGCCATAGATTGATTTTTTATTTTTATTTTTTTGGTATTGGGAATTGAACTCAGGACGTTGCACTTGCCAGGCAGGCGCTTGTGCCACTGAGCTAAATCTCCGGCCCCTAGTCCACGATCATAACTTTTTTGTTTCGTTTTATTTTTTTGACATAGGTTCTAAGTTGTCTAGGCTGGGTTTGAACTTGGGGATCTCCCGCCTCAGCCTCCCAGAGGGTTTGGGATTATATGTGTGGCCATGACAACAAGGCCAGCCTGAACTACACAGTGAGAAGCAATCTTTTAAGGTAGTTGGTAGTGGTGCGTTAGGAAGAGGCTGACTAGCACAAGAGCCTTACTTCTTTTTTTTGTCTTTTTTTGGAATCAGGGTCTCGCTATGCAGTTCAGCCTGGCCTTAAGCTCACTGTGTAGCCCAAGCTGGTCTTAAAGCCCCAAATGATCCTCTTGCCTCAGCCTCCCCAGTGCTGGGATTACAGGCATGCACCACCACGCCTGGCTTGAGCCTTATTTTTTTGATGGTGTAGCCCACGGGACATGACTCCAGTTTTCTCATGAAGATGTATTATTGAGGATGTATAGTAACCACGTTTACTCTTGTTTTGTTTTGTTTTGTTTCCGGTACTGGGAATTGAACTCATG